AATTACATGAGGACATCTCAGATCACAGACCATTCCAGACAGCCTTAAGAATAACTTGCAAAGGGAAAGTGAAAAATGGTAATTTCTGAAACCATTAGCAACAAAATTATTCTTGAATGCATTAATACCCAATTGGTTTTTTAATTAACCATATAAAAGTTTAATACCAAGAATAATATACGTTATACTACTATTGGCCCGGATTTCCGTATAAACCATATAAAAGTTTAATACCAAGAATAATATACGTTATACTACTATTGGCCCGGATTTCCGTATACATATTATACAAATAAGGTCATATCATTAAATGTTTCTAATTCAAATTCCTTTACCTTTTCCCGTTGCATAGCAACATATCACTAAAACATCATCACTGATAAAAATGTAATGTATGATTGGGAAAGGTTAATTTACATTGTTTTTGTAACGAAAAATAAATTATAGTCACTCCTTTGCCTTAGTAGATTTATTTTGGTCAAATAACATCATAAAACATTACAAAAGTAGTATAAAACAATAACAGACTGAGACATGTAAACATACTAAAATCATAAAATCTTAAAACAATTGATGATACCGTCAGGATTGCCCATGAAAACCATACGGCTTATTTCCAATAGGGTCCCATTACATTAAAATATTAATTTATAAATATAGTTATATGAAAACATGACTTTAGCAGGTTTTATACTAGCTAATTATGTTAAAATTATAATTTACGATTACATTGACCAGAATATTTAAGCCATTCAATGAAATAAAAATTTGCTATTAAAATTGTTGCTTTCCTCTTTTTCTTATTTGTCTGCAAATATGTTTATTTTTAGTACACTCTAAGGAAACATTTTTCATTAGATACAAGATGTAAGGACATGATTGAATTGAAGCTCAATGCTTATTGCCATGGCCTCTTAAATGTCATTTTGTATACCTCCAACGGATATAGTCATACCAGGCCAGCTGAGGAAAACCTTCGGGTGTTTTCTCGCTGCGTTGAAGACCCATTGGTGGCCTTCTGCTGTTATCTGATCTTTGGCCGGGTTGTTGTCTCTTTGACATATTCCCCATTTCCATTCTCAATTTTATATAGCGTATTACAGTTAATAGGTAAAGGGTCGTCTCCAAAAAAATTTCATCGTTGTAGTTAATAGTTTTGACAAATTTGCGTAAATAAATTTGTGTCATTCAAGGGTGCAACCCCTTCCCCCACTTAGAGAATAATTCATTTTGTTTTCTTCTTCTTCTTCTTCTTCTTCTTCTTCTTCTTCTTCTTCCAAATACTGCCCATATTCAACATGATGACTATTCTGGCAAGTTGCGCATGGTTAAAAACAAATTGTTGAGTTGATTTTATTAGAGGTTTTGGTCACTTGAGATTTGAATATCTCAAGAGACTTTGCTGTGGCGATATCTGGAGGCAGTTTGTTCCAATCATTGACGGTCTTTACAAAGAAGGACCATTTCCTACAATCTTTGGTGGCTGGCTGTAATAGGTAAGTATGATGTCCTGTCCGACTAGAGAGCTTCTTGTTGGTTTTTGTAGGTATTTACTCTTGTCTATGGCTACAAAGTCATTTGTTATTTTGTAACACATGATGAGTCTGGCTTCTTTTCGTCTTGTTTGTAGGCCTTTTCATCCTAATTCAGTTATCATTTTGCTGACACTTGATCTATTTCTGTCTGCTGGTTACATATCGTGCAGCTCGTTTTTGTACTTTTTCAATTTTGTCTATGTGGTTTTGTTGGTACGAGTCCCATACTGTCGTGGCGTATTCCATTTGCGTTCTTACTAATATTTTATAGGCATGCTCTTTGATGGATTTTGAACTGATGTGGAGGTTTTGATGTAAGAAACCAAGGCTTCGGCTGGCTTTTCCCGTGATGTTGTTTATGTGTTCTCCCCAATCTAGATCATTTGCAATGGCGCAGCCAAGGTATTTAGTCGATGTTTCATGCTCCAGAGTATGGCCGTGGAGTTTGTATAGTCCCACTTGATTGGATTTTTCTTTTTTGTTACTGTGAGGACGCTGCACATGGTTGGAACTCCATTTTCCAATGTTTTTTCCCATTTTGCCAATTTGTCCAGGTCTTCTTGGAGTTTATGGCAGTCGTTGTCTGAGGGAATGGTCAAATAGACAACAGTATCGTCCGCAAACAGTCTCACTGTTGGGTGTAGGCCTTCTGGTAGGTCGTTAATGTAAAAAAGAAAGAGACTGGGTCCTAAGACTGATTCTTGTGGTACTCCGGATTCTACTTTCACTTTGTCTGATGTTTTGCCTTCAACAACTACTACTTGGGTTCTGATGGTGAGAAATTCCTTTATCCATTTGTTTGTTTTACTGCGAATGCCATAATGGTGTAGTTTATGGAGGAGTAAACTGTGGGACACCTTGTCAAAAGCTTTTGAAAAGTCCAGTATAAGCAGATCTTATAAATTTTGACTTGGATGGAGAGTTGTCTCATTGGCACTCATACCACATCTTCTTATATCTGATTGTTTTCCGTTTTCCAGATTTTTTGTGCCATGATATCATTGATACATTCAAGGAGTTGTGTTTCGCATGATCTTTTACTCCTGAAGCCATGTTGTAGAGGGTATAACTCATAAGATGTTATTTACCTCTGCATGTTGCATGATGCTACTGGTGACTATAAATTATGTTCTATGATTTTTCTGCAACAGATACATGTTAGGGATATTAGGTATGTATTTCTGGCCTTTCTTAATTATAGGCCGGAGTGACATTTGCAGTTCGCCAGTCATCGGGTATCTTTCCTTTCTCCATTGGTAAATCATGGTTAAGATCGGAGCAATTTCACTGGCTAGTTTTTTCAGTAGCATTGGTTTGATGTTGTCTGGTCCAGCAGCCTAGCTTGTGTGGTTTTAGATTTTTCAGTTGTTTTTCCACTCCATTATTAGTGATGATTATTTGTTCGATGTTTGGATAGTTTTCTGGTAGATCTGTCATGATTTTTTTTTTCTTTTCAAAATCTCTTTTACTGATTGGACATGCAACGGAGAAGACTGATTAGAATTGATCATTTTCAAAAGAGTGTATTAAACACATTTATTCTAAAACCAGTTGTTGGCATGATACGGGTTATGTTCTTCTCATATATTCTATGACGGCATAATACTAAACCCCTAACAGGAGGAATTGTGCCTGATATTCATATGATGAAGACATAATCTTTCAATCAGTTTAATTGAGGTCTGGAGCTGGCATGTCAGTAACTGCTAGTAGTCTGTTGTTATTTATGTATTATTGTCATTTTGTTTATTTTCTTTTGTTTCCTATTCTGACATCGGACTCGGACTTCTCTTCATGATACTGAGTTTTACTGTGCGTACTGTTGTGCGTTTGTCTTACTACATTGGCTAGAGGTAAAGGGGGGGGGGTTGAGATCTCAAAAAACATGTTTAACCCCGCCGCATTTTTGCGCCTGTCCCAAGTCAGGAGCCTGTGGTCTTTGTAAGTCTTGTATCATTTTTAATTTTAGTTTCCTGTGTATAATTTGGAGTTTAGTATGACGTCCATTATCACTGAACTAGTATTCAATTTTGTTTAGGGGCCAGCTGAAGGACGCCTCCGGGTGCGGGAGTTTCTCGCTGCATTGAAGACCCATTGGTGGCCTTCGGCTGTTGTCGTCTATGGTCGGGTCGTTGTCTTACTTAAAGCTAAGGTGCCCTCCTTGCAGATTAGACGGATTAGAACAATGGCTCTAGAAACTTTTAAGATTATAAATAATATAGCTCCTGTGTGCTTACAAAATTTGGTGAGTGTCAAAAAATCTAAGTATTCTTTCCGGTATGTAAATATTCTAGATGTTCCACAGGTAAAGTCAACCCGTTACGGTAATAGATCTTTCAAATTTGCTGCTGCTACTTTATGGAACAGCCTTCCAAACCATTTCAGGACTGAAAATAGTTTTTCACATTTTAAAAGTCTTGTTCAGTCCTGGAATGGTTTGGAATGTCGATGTTCTGCTTGCAGATAATTCTTGAGATGTTTATTATTTATGTTGCTTTTGTTTGCTCTGGTCTAGCATGTTTTATTTCATTTTAAATTTGTTGCTAAATTTTTATTGCATGCTATGTAAGTGAGATTTAACTTCGTATAACAGGTTGTTTTATATGTCAAATTAGACTGTTTTTATGTTATGTATATGTTTTTATATTCGGTTAAAAGCTCCTTAGAGCTTGTGTTGTGTCTTTTAACTTATGCCGAATCAAAATAAAGTTTTCTTATCTCTTTGACACATTCCCCATTTCCATTCTCAATTTTATGTATGTATGTATGTTTGTACCTAGATCCCTCCGTTTACGGAGCACCCCTCGAGAGCTGCTTACCTTACCGCTGAATCTTCTTTCGTCCTTCTTCAGGACAACCTCCATAGGAGTATCTGTTATGTTTTCTTAATTTACCTCCACCATCAAGAAATTATAAACATTTGTATGTACAAAATATATACACAAGGGTACAGTGGAATCCTTGTACACTCCATATCGGGATTAATGTGTCAATATTTACAAGGACAATCCCCACCCCAACACATTGGAGTGTTAGGACACCGGCCGGATCTGTTATTATGTTGGAGGAAGCCGAAACACTCGGAGAGAACCACCGGGCTGCTCGGCGGCCAGCAGATTGATCTCCAGGTCAAAGTCGGGAGCAACTTTGACCAACTGAGGCCCCCATAGTACCCATTCTAGTTTAAACTCCGGTCTGGGTACCAGAGATGTGTGTAAAAGGGTGAAAATCACCCTTCTGGTGTATTGATATTATTAGCACCCCGAGTGAGAATCGAACTGGGGACCCTCAGCACTGTAGCCATCGGTCTTAACCACTAGAGCCACGAACTCACATTGTTTTGAAAATAAAAATTGCGTATTTCTTGCCTTCACCGGCCTTCATTCCATATTTACACTTAAATATCGGAATGTTTCGGATTGTTTCGTCTCGGCATAGTTCACATCCACTACTATCGAAAAAAACTCAACATGGCAGCAAGTGCTAGTCTGACACAGAAAGGAATAGTCCTGTTTTTATTAGGAATTGTCCTCGGATTCTTAATGACATTTTTATTTTCTAATCAATTTGATCTCAGAAATCATATCCGGCAAGTACCAAGTGGTGTTTTTATTCCTAATAGTCCACACAGCCACGGAGAGATGGACCATCTCAAAGGTCCAGACGAATCTGTTGACTGGTCCGAAGCTCATTTCCACAGTCATGCAGGTTTGTACATTAACTAATCACAAGTCATTATTTATTGTATTTGACAGACTACCTTACATGCATGTATGCATACAACTCTTTTACATTTACATGCTTGTTCAAAAGAACAGACGAAAAAATTATCCGTCAAAGTGGTTTAAAAATTATATTGTTTAAGACCAATGATTTTTAAAATAGACATACATGTGTCTTACTACGAAAGTCCTTGGCTTGGACGAGTCAAACCATTTAGTATATAATAATCAAAGTTGGTACATCTATAATTTGACTGTTTTTGATAAAAGATCTAGGATTTTCATTAAAGCATTTTTGTTTGTGAGTCCAGGTACATGTACTCATCATTTTTGGCCAAGGCCAGAAGACCATCTGTATGAACAAAAATTTAAAAATATTGTGACTAGAATCATTATTGAATTTTTTTATCACAGAGTTAGACCCTGTTTAAGCTAGCAAAAAACATCAATCTTTAGAATGTTTAGTCTAATGTAAGCGGAAAAGATCGATCTTAATTGAGACTTAAAAAGTCTACCTCCAGAAAGGAAAAGGATTGATCTTTTTTTAATAGATCTTTCTTCAAATGTTAACGCTTAGATTGATCACGATTGATCCTTCTATAAGTGATTGTTATATTTAGATGTGGTCTGTCTAACATGTCTAATGTGAGGTTGTCATATGGAACTCTTGTCTAATATTGTTACCACTAATAAAGACAAATGAACGTTCAAATATTTTTGTTGACATCCATTTCAAAACAGATTTTTTTTAACTGTAAATTTATATCCCATTTTATGACATGAGTAAAGTATTCGACAATTGATTCAATAGACTTTTTAATGAAATAACTATATATTGTTTGGTCAGTTCAATTCAATTGAATTCTGTTGTAGGTAAGGATAAATCAATTGTTGTAGGATTTTTATTATCATATATTTATCATGTTTATCAGTTCGTTTAATCTATTCAATCAATCCTTTATTCTAAGAGTTGTTTAAATTAATATTGATATGATTGTGCATCTTGAACATGAGAAGAGTCAGTTGATAGAATTGATCAACTCTTAAACAATCTTAATAATTGATACGATCATGTACAGAGAAAACAAAATCAGAGAGTTCATTGAATTGACCAACTTTTAACGATCGTTACAATTGAATATGATGGTGACCCTTGAAAACCAGATGAGACAGTTGATTGAATTGATCAACCCTTAGATGATCGTAATGATCGATTAAAATTATACCATCATGACCCTTAAAAACTAGAAAAGACGGTTGATTGAATTGATCAACTCTTTTACCATCGTAACGATTGAATACGATCGATACGATTGTGACCCTTGAAAATGAGAATAGGCAGTTGATTGAATTAAACAATTCCATTGAAAACAATTGATACGATTGTGACCCTTGAAAAACAGATGAGACAGTTGATTGCATTGATCAACCCTTTAACTATCATAATAGTTGAAAACAATCCTTAAAAATGAAAAAGACAATTAATTGAATTGATCCAACTCCTTAATTTATCGATCGTAATGTTTGAATATGATCCATACCATCGTGACCCTTGAAAATGAGAACAGACAGTTGTTTGAATCGGTTTTCAAGGGTAACAATCATATTAAAGGTCATGTGTGTCATCTAGTTTTCAAGGGTAACAATCATATCAAGGGTCACGTGTGTCATCTGGTTTTCAAGGGTAACAATCATATCAAGGGTCATGTGTGTCATCTTGTTTTCAAGAGTAACAATCATATCAATCGTTTCGATCGTTTTAAGGGCTGATCAATTCAATTACCTGTCTCATCTGTTGTTCAAGGGTCACAATCCTATCACTCTTAAATCATAGGATATGCAATTTCTTTCTTCCTATTAATACCAACATATTGAACAAGTTCAATTTAAAGGTTTTGTGAAGACAAACAAATCTTGTGATACATTTTCAAAAAAAGTATAGGAATAATTTTTTGTAAATAAAATTGTAAAACTACATTTGTTACCAAACATTTTTATTGAGTTGACTGAGTTAATATTTGTTAATCAATCTTATTTAATCGTATCTATTGTAACGATTGAGGGTTTGCAATTTTTATTTAGTTGATTAAATTGATATTTGTTAATCAATCATGTTCAATCATATTTATTGTAACGATCAAAGGGTTTGCACTTTTTACTGAGTTGATATTTTTTAATCAATCCTGATCAATCATATCTATCATAATGATAGAGGGTTTGCAATTTTAGTTGAGTTGATTGGGTTGATATTTGGTAATCAAATGTTATCAATAGTATCTATCGTAAAAATCAAGTGTTTGCAATATTTATTCATTTGAATGAGTTGATATTTGGTAATGAGAGGATTAGGTTGACAGCTGGTTATCAATAGTGATTAATCATATAAATCATTTCAATATTTTACCTGAATGTTTTTTGATGAATTATATCAAACAGGTTATGAAAAACGATTTTGTGTTTGGTGCCTATGCAAACTGTTTATATAAGTGTTGATTAATATTTGTATTACTAACACAAATTTGTCTTTTAAGAATTAATGGTATAACCAAAAGACATGATAAAAAAAAATAACTTAACTTTGACCGAAAAACATGAAATGATGAATATTAGCATTGTCTGGCTTCCAAAGACAGGAAATTGATCATTCATTTGAGATAATGATTGTTACACCACTAGCTTTATCGCTTAATACAGTGACTAATCTTCGACTTTTAATTAGCTTTCAAGATACTATCATATTAAGTAAGAAGTACCTAGATCTGGTAATTTTAAGATTAACAGACAGAACTTAAAAAGATGGTAATGACCAGCAATGTCCAGCATGGTGATAAAATACAAAGATCAATCTAATTCAGACATGCCATGAATTCCCCTCTTGTCTAATTTTGAAGTGGCTCTAATTTAGATGTGCCATCAATTCCTCTCTTGTCTAATTCAGATGTGCCATCAATTCCTCTCTTGTCTAATCAGATGTGCCATCAATTCCTCTCTTGTCTAATTCAGATGTGCCATCAATTCTCCTCTTGTCTAATTCAGATGTGCCATCAATTCCTCTCTTGTCTAATTCAGATGTGTCATCAATTCTCCTCTTGTCCAATTCAGATGTGCCACCAATTCCTCTCTTGTCTAATTCAGATGTGCCATCAATTCCTCTCTTGTCTAATCAGATGTGCCATCAATTCCTCTCTTGTCTAATTCAGATGTGCCATCAATTCTCCTCTTGTCTAATTCAGATGTGCCATCAATTCCTCTCTTGTCTAATTCAGATGTGCCATCAATTCTCCTCTTGTCCAATTCAGATGTGCCACCAATTCCTCTCTTGTCTAATTCAGATGTGCCATCAATTCCTCTCTTGTCTAATTCAGATGTGCCATCAATTCTCCTCTTATCTAATTCAGATGTGCCATCAATTCTCCTCTTATCTAATTCAGTTGTACCATCACTTCTTCTCTTGTCTAATTCAGATGTGCCATCAATTCCTCTCTTGTCTAATTCAGATGTGTCATCAATTCCTCTCTTGTCTAATTCAGATGTGCCATCAATTCTCCTCTTGTCTAATTGAGATGTGCCATCAATTCTCCTCTTGTCTAATTCAGATGTGCCATCGATTCCTCTCTTGTCTAATTCAGATGTGCCATCAATTCTCCTCTTGTCTAATTGAGATGTGCCATCAATTCCTCTCTTGTCTAATTCAGATGTGCCATCAATTCTCCTCTTGTCTAATTGAGATGTGCCATCAATTCTCCTCTTGTCTAATTCAGATGTGCCATCGATTCCTCTCTTGTCTAATTCAGATGTGCCATCAATTCTCCTCTTGTCTAATTGAGATGTGCCATCAATTCCTCTCTTGTCTAATTCAGATGTGCCATCAATTCCTCTCTTGTCTAATTCAGATGTGCCATCACTTCCTCTCTTGTCTAATTCAGATGTGCCATCAATTCCTCTCTTGTCTAATTCAGATGTGCCATCAATTCTCCTCTTGTCTAATTCAGATGTGCCATCAATTCCTCTCTTGTCTAATTCAGATTTGCCATCAATTCTACTCTTGTCTAATTCAGATGTGCCATCAGTTCCTCTCTTGTCTAATTCAGATGTGCCATCCATTCCTCTCTTGTCTAATTTAGATGTTCCATCAATTCCTCTCTTGTCTAATTCAGATGTTACATCAATTCTCGTCTTGTCTAATTCAGATGTGCCATCAATTCTCCTCTTGTCTAATTCAGTTGTGCCATCACTTCCTCTCTTATCTAATTCAGATGTGCCATCAATTCTCGTCTTGTCTAATTCAGACGTGCCATCAATTCTACTCTTATCTAATTCAGTTGTGCCATCACTTCCTCTCTTGTCTAATTCCAGATGTGCCATCGATTCCTCTCTTGTCAAATTCAGATGTGCCATCAATTCTCCTCTTGTCGAATTCAGATGTGCCATCGATTCCTCTCTTGTCTAATTCAGATGTGCCATCAATTCCTCTCTTGTCTTATTCAGATGTGCCATCAATTCTCCTCTTATCTAATTCAGATGTGCCATCAATTCTCCTCTTGTCTAATTGAGATGTGCCATCAATTCCTCTCTTGTCTAATTCAGATGTGCCATCAATTCCTCTCTTGTCTAATTCAGATGTGCCATCACTTCCTCTCTTGTCTAATTCAGATGTGCCATCAATTCCTCTCTTGTCTAATTCAGATGTGCCATCAATTCTCCTCTTGTCTAATTGAGATGTGCCATCAATTCTCCTCTTGTCTAATTCAGATGTGCCATCAATTCTACTCTTGTCTAATTCAGATGTGCCATCAGTTCCTCTCTTGTCTAATTCAGATGTGCCATCCATTCCTCTCTTGTCTAATTTAGATGTGCCATCAATTCCTCTCTTGTCTAATTCAGATGTTCCATCAATTCTCGTCTTGTCTAATTCAGATGTGCCATCAATTCTCCTCTTATCTAATTCAGTTGTGCCATCACTTCCTCTCTTATCTAATTCAGATGTGCCATCAATTCTCGTCTTGTCTAATTCAGATGTGCCATCAATTCTACTCTTATCTAATTCAGTTGTGCTATCACTTCCTCTCTTGTCTAATTCCAGATGTGCCATCGATTCCTCTCTTGTCAAATTCAGATGTGCCATCAATTCTCCTCTTGTTTAATTCAAATGTGCCATCAATTCTCCTCTTGTATAATTCAGATGTGCCATTAGTTCTCCTCTTGTCTAATGCAGATGTGCCATCAATTCCTCTCTTGTCTAATTCAGATGTGCCATCGATTCCTCTCTTGTCTAATTCAGATGTGCCATCAATTCCTCTCTTGTCTAATTCAGATGTGACATCAATTCTCCTCTTGTAGAACAAAACACTTGTTAAAAATCTTCAAAACAAAAGCAATAAAAAGAGTCATTGCATTAATGGGTCATTCCTGAAAATTGCACAAGAGGTGCAGGTCTAAGGAAGTTATGAGGTCATTTGGTCCAATAAAAAATCCATATTTACATGTCCAGACATTCCACTTGAATGTTAGGGTATTCATTGAGGTTAGGGTACCTCACCCCTTAAATTGAACATTTTCAAACCTTTGTTTCTCATTTAATACAACATAGCCATATTTTAAGGAAAATTTTAAGTTCTAGGTAATTTGAATAGTGCACAAAAAAATTAAAACAACATTTTATAAATTGCATGTGCTCGAAGCATGATGTACAAATGTACTTACATGAAGATAACAACATTACAAACATGAAAAATGTAATGTCATATGTTTTTTTCCATTTTTCCTGGTGGAAACTCCTTATTTCCACTGTGGTTTGATGCCCTTGAGTCAGAATTTTAATTTCCGCCTCATAAACAGGTATTAATTGAGTCTTACCTTTATTATTTTCTCGATTAGTCACAAATGATCAGTGTTTACATGGTAAATTTTATTTAATTATATTAATTTAGTGCATGATATTATTTTCAAAATATTTTATCTATATATACAAGTCCATAGTTCATGTAGTTAAGATGTGCTATGTGTGATGTCAGACTCAAGGAAAAGTGTCTGTCTGAAGGACTAAATCATAACAGCCACTAGTTAAGATGTACTATGTGTGATGTCAGACTAGAGGAAAAGTGTCTGTCTGAAGGGCTAAATCATAACAGCCACTAGTTAAGATGTGCTAGGTGTGATGTCAGACTAGAGGAAAAGTGTCTGTCTGAAGGGCTAAATCATAACAGCCACTAGTTAAGATGTGCTAGGTGTGATGTCAGACTAGAGGAAAAGTGTCTGTCTGAAGGGCTAAATCATAACAGCCACTAGTTAAGATGTGCTATGTGTTATGTCAGACTCGAGAAAAAGTGTCTGTCTGAAGGGCTAAATCATAACAGCCACTAGTTAAGATGTGTTATGTGTGATGTCAGACTTAAGGAAAAGTGTCTGTCTGAAGGGCTAAATAATAACCAGTCACTAGTTAAGATGTGCTAGGTGTGATGTCAGACTAGAGGAAAAGTGTCTGTCTGAAGGGCTAAATTATAACAGCCACTAGTTAAGATGTGCTAGGTGTGATGTCAGACTAGAGGAAAAGTGTCTGTCTGAAGGGCTAAATCATAACAGCCACTAGTTAAGATGTGCTAGGTGTGATGTCAGACTAGAGGAAAAGTGTCTGTCTGAAGGGCTTAATCATAACAGCCACTAGTTAAGATGTGCTATGTGTGATGTCAGACTCGAGGAAAAGTGTCTGTCTGAAGGGCTAAATCATAACAGCCACTAGTTAAGATGTGCTATGTGTGATGTCAGACTTAAGGAATAGTGTCGGCTGAAAGGCTAAATCATAACCAGTCACTAGTTAAGATGTGCTAGGTGTGATGTCAGACTAGAGGAAAAGTGTCTGTCTGAAGGGCTAAATCATAACAGCCACTAGTTAAGATGTGCTATGTGTGATGTCAGACTCGAGGAAAAGTGTCTGTCTGAAGGGCTAAATCATAACAGCCACTAGTTAAGATGTGCTATGTGTGATGTCAGACTTAAGGAAAAGTGTCTGTCTGAAGGGCCAAATCATAACCAGTCACTAGTTAAGATGTGCTAGGTGTGATGTCAAACTCAAAGAAAAGTGTCTGTCTGAAGGGCTACATCATTACTGCCACTAAAATCCACATACAAGTAATGATTAATTCAAAACAGTTTTGTTGATATATGAGTTTTCAGATGGTAATCTGAAGGGTTCTTCACTTCTGAATTTGGTCCTATTTCACTGGACTTGCAAGAGTTTTACTGGTTTTGGCAAGGACCAAACTATACATATTTAGATTGAAAAAATAACCAAGATCTCTAGTGATGGAATGAAATCTTTAACATGTGTTTATATAATAAGTGACTGTGAATAAAGGTTTTATGGTTATTGTATGAGGAAAACTGACTTCTAAAAATTACCTCATTCGATCTCATATATGTATAGAGAATATCATATGGCTTTTTCAATATACACCCCGTATCAACCCTGGTCTCTAGTTGATACAGAGTGTGATATTGAAAAAGCCATATCATATACACTTTATTATATACTTCTCAAGTAGATGTTTTTTTCACGTGACATGATGTAATTCAGCGACTCTTTTCACAAAAAATCTTACGATTAAAATTGATCGTAAGTTATACTGAAATGTGTATGACTTACGAGTATTTTTACTCTTAAGATTTTTTGTGAAAAGAGCTGCTGATTAGGGGTTTGATAAATCCTTTACAACCACAACTGATATCGATGACGTGACGTCATAGAGTTTAGGGGTTTTTGCAACCGTGACGATATCATCACGGATGGCTGATACAGCAGGATTGTCATCAATTGTATTACACATACAATTACCTGTATTTACTACTAAGTATATATAATAAATATATATATTCTAATTTTTCAGAAGAGTCGAGCAAGATTGCAAAGGAGTTAGAAAAGGACGTGCGTGTTCTTTGTTGGGTTATGACAAATCCAAGTAATCATCAATCAAAAGCCAAGCACGTGAAAGCCACATGGGGCAAAAGATGCACTAAACTTATATTTATGAGTTCATCAGAAGACCGACATCTCCCTGCAGTAGCTTTACCAGTGCATGAAGGGCGTGACAATCTATGGGCAAAAACAAAAGAAGCATTCAAATATTTGTACAAAAATCATTTGAACGATTATGATTGGTTTATAAAAGCAGATGATGATACCTATGTTATTGTTGAAAATTTGCGTTATTTTTTACATGATAAAAACCCAAAGTCTCCTGTTTATTATGGCCGTAGGTTTAAACCCTATGTTAAACAAGGCTATATGAGTGGAGGGGCTGGATATGTTCTAAGCAGAGAAGCAACAAAAATTTTTGTGGAGAAGGGTATAAATATTCCTGGCACATGTAGAGCTGATGCTGGTGGGGCAGAAGATTTAGAAATAGGACGGTGTCTAGAAAAAATTGGTGTAAAAGCAGAGGATAGTAGAGATGAATCAGGAGGAGAAAGATTTATGCCGTTTATACCAGAACATCACTTGATTCCTGGAATTCTACCTAAAGATATGTGGTACTGGAATTACAATTATTACCCTGCAAAACAGGTATTTCCTTTTATCATTCTATATCAGGTTCTGTCCCCCTACGTATCACCCTGTGGGAGATATGGTAGTTGTCTCTGTAAATTTGAAACACACCAATGCTCAAAGACCTGTTTGACAGAAATTTTTCATGCTAGGTAGAATCATTTGTCGTCATGATTCTCAATGTGACAATAACACCTTGTGAATACAACTTTTTGAGGAAGTTATGTGACTTTTACCTTTTATTGCCCTGCCGACTGAAGTCCCGACATTCTGTCATTCCGTCAAACTTTTTTCTAAATGCCTTTGCATATTGAGTTGACTTTCAGTATGTGAGTCTACTATGATGAGTTACAGATCTAGTTTACGTGGTTTCACCCCAGCTGTTTTTTGTCGAAATTACAGGCTTTGGACTTTGAAAATTTCCACTCCTAAAAATGGCTTCAAGCTTTTTTTATGAGCAGGGTCATTTGTGTCGTTCCTACACATCTAGTTTTTACTAATGTGCCACAATGACACTTTGTGAATGAAAATCCTCTGAGACTGTTGGACAGAAAGCTCCCATACTTGTTTGCCATCTTGTGTAGTAGACAATATTATACTGTCATTTTAATTTGACCATAATTATAGGACTAAAGTGACATTTTCTTACTTTTGTTCCACAATGACACTTTATGAATGCAACTGTTCTAACAACATTTGTCAGAAAGCTAACTTACTTGGTACATTTATCTAACAACGTTTGACAAAAAGCTAACTTACTTTGTACGTTTATCTAACAACATTTGACAAAAAGCTATCTTACTTTGTATGTTAACGTTTATCTAACAACATTTGACAAAAAGCTGTCTTGCTTGGTACGTTTATCTAACAACATTTGACAAAAAAGCTGTCTTACTTGGTACGTTTATCTAACAACATTTGACAAAAAGCTGTCTTACTTGGTACGTTTATCTAACAACATTTGACAAAAAGCTATCTTACTTGGTACGTTTATCTAACAACGTTTGACTAAAAGCTATCTTACTTTGTACATTTATCTAACAACCTTTGACAAAAAGCTATCTTACTTTGTACGTTTATCTAACAACATTTGACAGAAAGCTATCTTACTTGGTACGTTTATCTAACAACGTTTGACAGAAAGCTATCTTACTTGGTACGTTTATCTAACAACGTTTGACTATATATAGCTATCTTACTTGGTACGTTTATCTAACAACGTTTGACAGAAAGCTATCTTACTTGGTACGTTTATCTAACAACGTTTGACAGAAAGCTATCTTACTTGGTACGTTTATCTAACAACGTTTGACAGAAAGCTATCTTACTTTGTACGTTTATCTAACAACATTTGACAAAAAGCTATCTTACTTTGTACGTTAACATTTATCTAGCAACGTTTGACAGAAAGCTATCTTACTTGGTACGTTTATCTAACAACATTTGGCAGAAAGCTATCTTACTTGGTAGGTTTATCTAACAACGTTTGACAAAAAGCTGTCTTGCTTGTTACGTTTATCTAACAACATTATACAAAAAGCTATCTTACTTGGTACTTTTATCCAACAACGTTTGACAGAAAGCTATCTTACTTGGTACGTTTATCTAACAACATTTGACAAAAAGCTATCTTACTTGGTACGTTTATCTAACAACATTTGACTAAAAGCTATCTTACTTGGTACGTTTATCTAACAACATTTGACTAAAAGCTATCTTACTTGGTACGTTAACTAGCATCATGTGCTGTTATTTTACTGCCATTTTAATTTGACCATTTATACGGAAGATCTAGGACTTTTACCATATTTTGACTATATATAGCTATCATACTACAAATAATGACATTGTGACACACAATTTAATTCCTCATTTATTGATTGCCAGGGGGCATTTTGCTCTCTTTTTTTTGTTGGGTTGGTGTCTCATTTATATTTACCCATATTTTTATGTACAGTATGACTTATAATGAGTCACTGTCAAACATTTGTGACTGAATCTATGGTACAAACGTATATTGTCACTAAACAATATCACTAAAAGACATTTGAAACAATATACCTGAGTTACTTGTGTTTTGAAGATAAAATGCATAATGTCATTAAATTGAAGTGTTATTTCTTTACACATGTTACAATTTTATAATTATGCAATAAAATACAATATTTTTACTGACCCAAGTAAGGGCCAATAGAGGACATGATTACTAACATGATAGTACATCAGTGAGGCATGGGTCAATATATTACATTGAAATGTGATTTATTAAATTGTTACATTGAAAAAATGGTTTATTAGATTACAATTACACGATTTGTAGGATGTTATTATTAAATTAAACTACAAATTACTTTGTAATTTGCTACTTTATAATTAAACATGTTAATTTTAGTTATTTACAGTGTACAGTCGTTCTTGTGTACTGTATAACCAACTGCTCTGAGATAAATCTTTACATCATTAACCTTACAATTCTTTAAGGGTCTAATTTCTTGTTTCAAATTTTTTTTAAATATATCAAAATGGTAAAATATGATATACAAGAAGATATCATTATTAACCTTTCATGAATTTGAGTATAAATAATTGTTTTCATCCCAATTTCATGTATAAAATTAGCTGATGTGGTATGATTGCCAATGAGACAACTACCATTCACTGAAAACGGAAATGTGATAGTATACACAGGACATAGTGTCCGATGGATGTATCGTCTTGTTTACTTTTACCAGAGACATGTATACATGTATTTATATGTCTCTGCTTTTACAAACATGAAGAAAATTTTTTTTGTTACTGAAAAAATTAAATGACACAATCTTATTCTTAAAAAATTATTTCAGAAAATTCATACTGGTATTTTACTGATGCAGGACATTGTTTCAGTCTTCTCTTAATATATACTGCCTCGGTGGTTTCGTGGTAGCGTGTTCGCCTCGAGTGCGGGAGGTCGTTGGTTCAATACCCGGCCGGGTCAATACCCGGCCGGGTCAAACCAAAGACTTTAAAATTGGTATTTGCTGCTTCTCCGCCACCTGCGGACTGTTACCTTATGAGCTAGCAATCATCATCATCATCATCATCATCATCATCATCATCATCATCATCATGAGTCTAATCAATCTGATAACATTTATGGTAATATAGTTTGAATTATATATGACCATTAAAATAAAAGTAGAAAACAACAGGCGTTTGGAAACACAAATAATTTTTTGTCAAGCCTGCAACATTTATGTTGCAGAAGCAAAATTTAGCGATCCTAGATTCAATCTTTAACACTTTATTGCAAAACATGAAAGCCTGGCGGGTTAAAATGCAAACATAGTACATTGTATACACAAGTGACAAGAAACAGTCTTTTTACAGTGGCATTGATTTCATCAACATTTTTTTCACATCAGTAACTTTGTCAAACCTGTATGTATTTTTATGAATTTTTTACAGCCTGATGTTCAATGGTTGTCATTGGACCTGATGTCTGTCATTTTTGTTTTTCATAAATTGTTTTGTTATAAATTAGGCCATTATTTTTCTCAATTGAAGTGTTTCATATTTTTCCTGTCGGGGCCTTTTATAGCCAACTATACGGTAAGGGTATTTCTCATCGTTGAAGGCCATACCATTGCCCATAATTGCTTACATCCACTTCATTTGAACTTTGGTGGATAGTTGTCTCATTGAGTCATTGGCAATCAGACCACATCTCCTTATTTTTATACAGAAGCTTTTTTTACGACCAAAAGACAGTATCCAGAGTTTTTTTCTGTATTTTTCTGATAAAACAAGGAAGTATTTGAATCTGGAATAATTTTGAATTCTGGAAAATTGATACCAAATGTATGATGAAAAATCGTTAGTTAGTTTCTTACTGAAATATCAGCGAAAGTAAAATGAACCTTAGGCATGCACGCATGGCTAATCCCCTATAGTTTGGTTAGTTTTCATCATATATTTCAATTTTCCAGAATTCAAAATTATTCCAGATTAAAATAATTCCTTGTTATAAATGGACTTGTTTTTATACGACCGCAAAAATTAAAAATTTTTTGGTCGTATATTGGTATGACGTTGGCGTCGTCGTCGTCGTCGTCCGGCTTCGTCCGAAGACACATTGGTTTTCGCACTCTAACTTTAGTTTAAGTGAATGGATCTCCATGAAATTTCACCATAAGGTTCAATACCACAAAAGGAAGGTTGGGATTGATTTTGGGGGTTATATATGGTACCAACAGTTAAGGAATTAGGGGCCAAAAATAAGCATTTTTGTAACTTTCAGACAATAACTTGTGTGTAAGTGTATGGATCTCTCTGACATTGTACCACAAGGTTCCATATCACAAAGGGAAGGCTGTAATTGATTTTGGGGGTAATTGCCTCAAATTTTTAGGAATTAGGGGCCAAAAAAGGGGCAAAAAACAAGCATTTTTCTAGTTTCATGACAATAACTTGTGTGTAAGTGTTTGGATATTTCTGAAATTGTACTACAAGGTTCCATATCACAAAGGGAAAGCTGGAATTGAGTTTGGGGGTAATTGCCCGAAACGTTTAGGAATTGGGGGCCAAAAGGGGCCAAAAATAAGCATTTTTCTAGTTTCCAGACAATAACTTGTGTTCAAGTGTATGGATCTCTCTGAAATTGTACTGCAAGGTACCTTACCACAAAGGGAAGGCTGGGATTGAGTTTGGGGGTGATGAATCATAAGGGGGTTCAAAAAATTTGGGGGGGGGGGATTTTTTTTTTTTCTTTTTTTTCTTTTTTTCCTTTTTTTTTTCTTTTAAAATTTTCCATTTTAAGTTGGTTATTTCTGATTTATATTTAAAAGCAAATAATAATGATATGGTAGGAGATACACACCAAACAGGATGTGTAAATTATTATATAATAAGTATTGTGCAATAGCAAGAAATTTTCAATTGCACAGTATTGCACAATAGCAAGAAATCTTCAATTGCACAGTATTGCGCAATAGCAAGAAATCTTCAATTTAACAGTATTGCGCAATAGCAAGAAATATCCAATAGCACAATATTGTGCAATAGCAAGAAATTGTCAATTGTACAGTATTGCGCAATAGCAAGAAATATTCAATTGCACAGTATTGTGCAAAAGAAGATACTTCGTATAAATTGCTTATTTCTTGATCAATTTCAATGGGGTTTTATTCTTGAATTCTTGGGGTTCTTTAATATGCTGAATCTAACCGTGTATTAAGTTTTTGGATTTTGGGCCCCGTTTTTAAATTGGTCCACATTGAGGTCCAAAGGGTCCAAAATTAAACTTTGTTTGATTTCATCAAAAATTGAATTATTGGGGTTCTTTGATATGCCGAATCTAACCGTGTATTTAGATTTTTAATTTTGGGTCCCGTTTTTTAAATTTGTCTACATTAAGGTCCAAAGGGTCCAAAATTAAACTTAGTTTGATTTTAACAAAAATTGAATTCTTAGGGTTCTTTGATATGCTGAATCTAAACATGTGTTTAGATTTTTGATTATGGGACCAGTTTTCAAGTTGGTCCAAGTTGGGGTCCAAAATTAAACTTTGTTTGATTTCAACAAAAATTGAATATATGGGGTTCTTTGATATGCTGAATCTAAACATGTATTTAGATTTTAGATTTTTGGCCCAGTTTTCAAGATGGTCCAAATTGGGGTCCAAAATTAAACTTTGTTTGATTTCAACAAAAATTGAATATATGGGGTTCTTTGATATGCTGAATCTTACCATGTATTTAGATTTTTTATTTGTGGGCCCGCTATCAAATTGGTTCATATTGAGGTCAAAAGGGTCCAAAATTAAACTTTGTTTGATTTCATCAAAAATTGAATTATTGGGGTTCTTTGATATGCCAAATCTAACTGTGTTTTTAGATTTTTAATTTAGGGTCCCGTTTTTTAAATTTGTCTACATTAAGGTCCAAAGGGTCCAAAATTAAATTTTGTTTGATTTCAACAAAAATTGAATATATGGGGTTCTTTGATATGCTGAATCTAACCATGTATTTTGATTTTGGACATTGGACCATAATAGGTAAATTAAAAAAATTGAAGTTCTTAGACCACATTCTTTCTGTGTCAGAAACCTATGCTGTGTCAAATATTTAATCACAATCCAAATTCAGAGCTGTATCAAGCTTGAATGTTGTGTCCATACTTGCCCCAACTGTTCAGGGTTCGACCTCTGCGGTCGTATCAAGCTGCGCCCAGCGAAGCATTTTATTATAGTTAACATTTAGATTCAGTCTTATGTGAAAGTTTTTCAGTCATCAATAACTTTGTCAAACTGTCATGAAATTTGGACAAGCTTTTTTATGATCAAAAGACAAGTAGATACAGTCTTGGGTTAAAGTTTGTTACACATCAATTACTTTGTCAAACCTTCATAGAATTTTATGAAACATTGGCAGAAGCTTTGTTTTTGATTTTAAAAGAGATAATGTATGAAGCAAAATTTGAAAATATGTTTTTTTTTCATTTTTCAGTACCTGTATTTTACTGATAGATAGACTTAAGTGAACTCAGTTTACATTTACAGACAGTCTGTGATTAAACTTTTTTTTAAACATGATAAATTTGTAAATCTTCATGGATTATAATGAAACTTGGACAGAAGCTTACCTTAAAAATCAAGAAATAGCATCTAAAAAGACTTTTGATTTTTTTGTTTGATTCAGTATTTTACTGATAAATGACTAACTGTTTACAGTAACAGTCAACATTACACTTTTACCCTGACAGCAACAATCGCAGACGAGACACAACATTACACTTTTACCCTGACAGAGCAATCCCAGGCAAGACACAACATTACACTTTTACCCTGACAGCAGCAATCGCAGGCGAGACACAACATTACACTTTTACCCTGACAGAGCAATCGCAGGCGAGACACAACATTACACTTTTACCCTGACAGCAGCAATCGCAAACGAGACACAACATTACACTTTTACCCTGACAGCAGCAAACGCAAACGAGACACAACATTACACTTTTACCCTGACAACAGCAATCACAGGTGAGACACAACATTACACTTTTACCCTGACAGAGCAATCGCAGACGAGACACAACATTACACTTTTACCCTGACAGCAGCAATCGCAGACGAGACACAACATTACACTTTTACCCTGACAGCAGCAATCGCAGGCGAGACACAACATTACACTTTTACCCTGACAGCAGCAATCGCAAACGAGACACAACATTACACTTTTACCCTGACAACAGCAATCACAGGTGAGACACAACATTACACTTTTACCCTGACAGAGCAATCGCAGGCGAGACACAACATTACACTTTTACCCTGACAGAGCAATTGCAGACGAGACACAACATTACACTTTTACCTTGACAGCAGCAATCGCAGACGAGACACAACATTACACTTTTACCCTGACAGCAGCAATCGCAGACGAGACACAACATTACACTTTTACCTTGACAGCAGCAATCGCAGACGAGACACAACATTACACTTTTACCCTGACAACAGCAATCACAGGTGAGACACAACATTACACTTTTACCCTGACAGAGCAATCGCCGGCGAGACACAACATTACACTTTTACCCTGACAGAGCAATTGCAGACGAGACACATTACACTTTTACCTTGACAGCAGCAATCGCAGACGAGACACAACATTACACTTTTACCCTGACAGCAGCAATCGCAGACGAGACACAACATTACACTTTTACCCTGACAGCAGCAATCGCAGACGAGACACAACATTACACTTTTACCCTGACAGTAGCAATCGCAAACGAGACACAACATTACACTTTTACCCTGACAGATCAATCGCAGGCGAGACACAACATTACACTTTTACCCTGACAGAGCAATCGCAGGCGAGACACAACATTACACTTTTACCCTGACAGCAGCAATCGCAGGCGAGAAACAACATTACACTTTTACCCTGACAGCAGCAATCGCAGACGAGACACAACATTAACTTTTACCCTGGCAGCAGCAATGGCAGACGAGACACAACACTACACTTTTACCCTGACAGCAACAATCGCAGATGAGGCACAACATTACACTTTTACCCTGACAGCAGCAATCGCAGACGAGACACAACATTACACTTTTACCCTGGCAGCAGCAATCTCAGACGAGACACAACATTACACTTTCACCCTGACAGCAGCAATGGCAGACGAGACACAACATTACACTTTTACCCTGATAGCAGCAATCGCAGACGAGACACAACATTACACTTTTACCCTGACAGCAGCAATCGCAGACGAGACACAACATTACACTTATACCCTGGTAGCAGCAATCGCAGACGAGACACAACATTTCACTTTTACCCATGTAGCAGCAGTTGCAGGCGAAACCGGGGAACTAATTACAAAGTTTTAACTTACCTGGTAAATGTTTGTTAAAAAAATATGTATCTTGTGCAGGGACTTGGTTGTGTAGTCATTAACACATTTATATGTATCTTTTGCAGAGACCAAGTTGTGTAATAATTTACACATCTATATGTATCTTTTGCAGGGACCAAGCTGTTGCAGTGATTTTGCTATCACCTTTCATTATGTTCCACCCAATATGATGTATGTGTTGGAATATCTAGTTTATCACCTGAAACCTTATGGTTATGGGCAGGTTTACACCAAAGTACAGCAATGCGATAACAAAAATACTGATGACAGCAAAACATTGACTACATCAAACCCAGAAAATGATGTGAAAGTAAAGAATATAGATAGTGTTTTAGATAAAACAGAGAGTTTTCAAAATAAAGAGAATAAAGACAGTAATAATAATCAAGGAACTGCTGAAGAAAAAGTAAAGCAACCCTCATGATAAGTACCGGTGCTGTCACTGCTGTCATATGTCAACTGTTTTCATTTCCCATTTTCATGTTTGTGCAGCTGTAATTATAATACTGTTAAGAATCAATACAACTTACTCAGTATTTTTTTCCACTTCAATATTATATATCAATTCTATATGAAGACTGTATGCTGATGTGTTTTCACATATTTTTTTTATATTATTAATTGAATGTTTTTAAAAATTTGTGATTCCTTAAAACTTGATCACATCATCATGAACATTTGTATTTACTCAGTTTGCACGCCAATACTGTTGTGTCGAGCTTTTTGTAGGTCAAAAACAGAATATTGTACAGCGCATATAGCATGTTACTCAGAATACATTCTAGAAATCCCCAATTTTACATTGATCATGCAATAGTGTTGTTGATTAATAAGATAACAATTGTAGCCTTTGGTTGAGGTCAATACGATGTTATATCAACCAAGAGAAGCATATCGACTTTGGACTTCGTCCTCAGTCCACATGCTTCTCTTAGCTATAGGTTGATATAACCTCGTATCGACCTCATACAAAGGCTATAATTGTATAACGGTACTTTTAACCAAATTTCCACCTTCTAATTTAGATTTAAAAGATTTGTCCCTCCATTTTGTAACCAATTTTTTGTAAATAATTAATAATAAAAATGTGTAAACAAGAAGGATAAACTTTCAATAAACAGACAGCTACAGACATCAAACAGGTATAAAAAGTACAAGGGAATATTTGTAAGCAAACACTATTTTATATAAGCAAAATATTGTTTAATTGAATATAAGATTTGGTATGCAGTTTTATTACTGTAAGATGTATAGAGACCATTGTTACTTTGAAGGTACAAAGCAAACTTGGTAAAAGTAAATTTATTAAAAAGCTATGATTTATATTTTGTATTAATTCAAATGCATATGATGAAAATCCTGTGATTGATTTGGGATAGTTTGGTGGGCAGCTCCAACTGTTACCATACAATTACGTCAGAACAAATGAACCAATCCTTTTCAAATGTTGAAATATTTGTCTGATTACATATGAAATATTCTAATTAGATTTTACTCTTTTACTCTTTGGGAGTTATTGTCCTTATTGATTGAAAATGGTGCCATCTGTCAATTTATGTCAATTTGTGTGATCACCTGAGAACAGCTGAACCAAATTCATTTAAAAATTACATATGTAATTTTTTGATGATTAGATGGAGGCCAAGATCAATATTAGGGATTTTTTTTTGCAGGATTGTTGTTATGGTGTTGAGGGCTTTAGGTTGTTATGTGTGTGATAACTTGAGAACAGTAAAATCAATCTTTTGCCATTCAGTAATTTAAAGGTATTTGATTTATTGAAAAAATGGTGCTTTATGTCTTTTTCATACAATAAATTTACAGCCTTTCAACTAATTCTTTTAAATTACTGTAAACTCAGAAATTATTGCATGCATTTATTTAATATTGCGATTTTTGAAGAATGAACAAAAAATTCGTGATTAATTATGGCGATTTCTGGAAAAGCTGCATACAGATTTATGTATCAGATATCAGAATGCGGGTTCTTATCATTTAATACTCACCCAGTCACATTATTCGCATTAATAAAAACCTCGCAATAATTTCTGAATTTACAGTATCAATATGTTGTTTCTGATGTTATATTGACATTTTTCATTTTGTAGCTCAAAAGTTATAGTCCTTGATTGATTGATAAATGGAGCTGTTTGTTCTTTGCATGCAGTACCTAGATAATTGTTCAAACTATTCTGATCAAATTTGAATGTTATTGCTATTCAGTAGTTTATGGTCATTGGTTGATTGTAAAATGATGATTTATGCTGTTTCAATGCCCTTAATTTCATACCCATCAATCAGTCCTGTTCAAACACAATGTTTTATTCTGATGACAAAGCAAAGGTGAAATGTGTCAAAAACTGACAATTTGTTACTTTTGTAGAGTTGTGATCCTTGATTGATTGAATAAAGAATGGATCTTAAGGTCCCTTCCATGAAATAACCTGATAACTGTTCAACCAATTCAAACTGTTTATATGTTATGTCTTATGACAAAGTCAAGGTCAACAATTGATCAATTACCATTTTCATGAGTTATGGCCCTTGATTGTTTAAACAAAGAACAGACTTAAAATCAACTTTGCTGTCATTTTGACATCCTCTTGTGTTTTTTTTTCTTTTTTTAACTAGTATATTTTTTTACAGAGGTTTTATATCATGTGGTATTAATCTAGCTGAATGTTTTTATACGTATATTGTGTATACATTTCTCAGATTTATCAACAGAATATTTTTGTATTATTTTATTTTACTTTGTTTTCAAGTAATTTTTATACGACCGCAAAAAAATTTTGAGGTCGTATATTGGTATGACGTTGGCGTCGTCGTCGTCGTCCGGTGTCGTCGTCCGAATACACAATGGTTTTCGCACTCTAACTTTAGTTTAAGTGAATGGATCTCTATGAAATTTTACCATAAGGTTCAATACCACAATAGGAAGGTGGGGATTGATTTTGGGGGTTATGGTACCAACAGTTAAGGAATTAGGGGCCAAAAAGGGGCCAAAAATAAGCATTTTTGTAACTTCCAGACATAACTTGTGTGTTAGCATATGGATCTCTTTGACATTGTACCACAAGATTCCATATCACAAAGGGTCAATGCTGGGATTGATTTTGGGGTTAATTGCCTCAAAATTTTAGGAATAAGGGGCCAAAAGGGGGCAAAAAACAAGCATTTTTCTAGTTTCATGACAATAACTTGTGTGTAAGTGTATGGATCTTTCTGAAATTTTACTACAAGGTTCCATTTCACAAAGGGAAAGCTGGAATTGAGTGTTGTGGTAATTGCCCAAAACGTTTAGTAATAAGGGGCCTAAAAAGGGGTTTAAAATAAGCATTTTTTAGTTTCTAGACAATAACTTGTGTTCAAGTGTATGGATCTCTCTAAAATTGTATTACAAGGTACCATACCACAAAGGCAAGGCTGTTATTGAGCTTGGTTTGGGGGGAAAGGGGGGTGGGGGTGATGAATCATAAGGGGGGCGGGGGTCAAAAAAGGGGTAATTTTTTGTTTTCCTTTTTTTTAGCTCACCTGACCTGAAAGGTCAAGTGAGCTTTTCTCATCACTTTGCGTCCGTCGTCCGTCGTCCTGCATCCGTCGTCCTGCGTCCGTCGTCCGTCGTCCGTAAACTTTTACAAAAATCTTCTCCTCTGAAACTACTGGGCCAAATTTAACCAAACTTGGCCACAATCATCATTGGGGTATCTAGTTTAAAAAATGTGTGGCGTGACCCGGCCAACCAACCAAGATGGCCGCCACGGCTAAAAATAGAACATAGGGGTAAAATGCAGTTTTTAGCTTATAACTCAAAAACCAAAGCATTAAGAGCAAATCTGACATGGGGTAAAATTGTTCATCAGGTCAAGATCTATCTGCCCTGAAATTTTCAGATGAATCGGACAACCCGTTATTGGGTTGCTGCCCCTGAATTGGTAATTTTAAGGAAATTTTGCTGTTTTTGGTTATTATCTTGAATATTATTATAGATAGAGATAAACTGTAAACAGCAATAATGTTCAGCAAAGTAAGATTTACAAATAAGTCAATATAACCGAAATGGTCAGTTGACCCCTTTAGGAGTAATTGCCCTTTATAGTCAATTTTTAACCATTTTTCGTAAATCTTAGTAATCTTTTACAAAAATCTTCTCCTCTGAAACAACTGGGCCAAATTAAACCAAACTTGGCCACAATCATCATTGGGGTATCTAGTTTAAAAAATGTGTGGCGTGACCCGGCCAACCAACCAAGATGGCCGCCACAGCTAAAAATAAAACATAGGGGTAAAATGCAGTTTTTGGCTTATAACTCAAAAACCAAAGCATTTAGAGCAAATCTGACATGAAGTAAAATTGTTTATCAGGTCAAGATCTATCTGCCCTGAAATTTTCAGATGAATCGAACAACCTGTTGTTGGGTTGCTGCCCCTGAATTGGTAATTTTAAGGAAATTTTGCTGTTTTTGGTTATTATCTTGAATATTATTATAGATAGAGATAAACTGTAAACAGCAATAATGTTCAGCAAAGTAAGATTAACAAATAAGTCAACATGACTGAAATGGTCAGTTGACCCCTTTAGGAGTTATTGCCCTTTATAGTCAATTTTTATCAATTTTTCGTAAATCTTAGTAATCTTTTACAAAAATCTTCTCCTCTGAAACTACGTGGCCAAATTGAACCAAACTTGGCCACAATCATCATTTGGTTATCTAGTTTTAAAAATGTGTGGCGTGAGCTGGTCAACCTACCAAGATGGCCGCCACGGCTAAAAATAGAACATAGGGGTAAAATTCAGTTTTTGGCTTTTAACTCAAAAAACAAAGCATTTAAAGCAAATCTGACATGAAGTAAAATTGTTCATCAGGTCAAGATCTATCTGCCCTGAAATTTTCAGATGAATCAGACAACCCGTTGTTGGGTTGCTGCCCCTGAATTGGTAATTTTAAGGTAATTTTGCTGTTTTTGGTTATTATCTTGAATATTATTATAGATAGAGATAAACTGTAAAAAACAATAAATGTCGGCAAAGTAAGATCTACAAATAAGTCAACATGACCGAAATTGTCAGTTGACCCCTTTAGGAGTTATTGCCCTTTATAGTCATTTAACCATTTTTTCGTAAATCTTAGTAATCTTTTACAAAAATCTTCTCCTCTGAAACTACTGGGCCAAGTTAATTATAGATAGAGATAATTGTAAGCAGGAAAAATGTTCAGTAAATTAAGATGTACAAACACATCACCATCACCAAAACACAATTTTGTCATGAATCCATCTGCGTCCTTTGTTTAATATTCACATAGACCAAGGTGAGCGACACAGGCTCTTTAGAGCCTCTAGTTTTGTTTAAAATTTACATTTTAAGTTAATTATTTTTTATCACGAAGAGAAAGTAGGAATTGAGTTTTGGGGTTAATTGCTCAAACATTTATGAATAAGGGGCCAAATATTGGTCGAAAATAAGGATTTTTTTAGTTTGCAACAAAAACTTGTGTTCAAGTGTATGGATCTCTGTGAAATTGTATTGCAATGTACCATACCACAAATTGAAGGTTGTGATTGAGGTGGGGGATGATGAATCAAAAGGGGGTTGAAAAAATGTGTGGGGGGTAGGATTTTTTTTTTTCATTTTTTTTTCTTTAAAATTTTCCATTTAAAGATGGTTGTTTCAGATTTATATATGAAAGAAAATAATAATGATACGGTTATATATCATGAGGAATTGAAATTTAAAATTATGTATATTGGAAATTTAGGTTACATTGGAAAGTAATAATTGGCTTTGGGGGGGGGGGGGGGGGGGGGGGGGGTGGTTATGGCTCTAATGTTTAAGGAATAAGGGGAAAAAAGGTTAAAAAACAAGGGTTTCCATTTTAATAGACAAATAATTGAGTAAAGAACATTATTTAAAAGCAGTGTAAGGTTGGTAATTCAAACTCATTTAAATATCTCATCTACACTGCTTTTAAATTATGTAAATTGGAAATTTGCCAATAACTTTATTGTTAATAAATGCATTGGAAATTTGCCAACAATTTTAGTGTAATAAACTTCATTGGAAATTTGCCAATATAAAATTTTGCTGATGAAGGTTTTTTGTTTACCTTTAGCCTTGACTATGAAGTCATTTTCTATTTTTATAGCCTTATGATGTAGTTGAATTATTTAATACTTTTATGATGTGTTTAAATGGGGTTTTATCATGTTTATGGTTGCAAATTTATTGTTTTAGTATAATAAACTCCATTTAAAATTTGCCAATAAAAAAAATTTTTGTTTATTTTTAGCTATGATTATGATGTCATTTTCTATTTTACTTT